AGCCTCTTACATGTATTTTTTCCCTTACAAGAGTAGGAGGTAAAACGATAGGCGTTAGCATGAGAAAAAGTCACAGAATGAGAATTAAATACAGCAAGACTCCTTTCGGGAGTGCCGCTGGAAATCCGCCCTTTTCAGGCAAAAAGATTTTCTCCACGTCTGTTCACAAGGTTTTAGGCCGTATATTTAACGTGCTTAATTGCACATTAAGGAATAAATTGATTCCATCTGCCGCCGCTTTAACAGCATCCAGTATGTGAGTAGCGAAACTATTTGCACCGAGTGAAAGTGTCTCAAAAACTGTGATCTGCTTTACCGGCAATTCAGCCCGTGCTGCCGGGAGGGGGCAAACGCAGCAGCTCGCCATGGCCCCTGCTCCGACAGTCAAAAGCAGGTTTGGGATTTCTGAGACTGGGAAACACCCAAAAAGGCCATCATGCTGTTTCTCTGGGGGGAGAATAAATTTTCTGAGGGTCTGATCTAGTAAACTGTGATTCTTTTATTATTTGCATTTCTTCACATCGGTGATGCCAAGCACGATATATAAAATGCACACCTCTGAAATGTGGACAACTTTAAATTTTATAATTCATCCTAGTCCAGTCTGATAGCTCTCCAAATCGTTTTACCACTAGGAAAAAAAAAAAAAGAGAACAAAGGTGTCTGGAAATGTCCCCATAGGAGAGAGAAATGAATGACTTTACAAAGGCAACACTGTCCCTCCCAAGCTAGACACAATGGTGTTTTGTTCTCCAGATGCTGGGACATCTGCACAGGCAGACCCCAGCAGTCAAAAGACCGCACCAAGTGCTTGGTTGTGGAGTGTGAATAGCCCCTTTCAGCCAGTGTTTACAGTTCTCCCCTTGCTTAAAGTGCTTTCGGACTGGAGAGGGGTCGCAGAGAGTACCATGCTCGAGGGTTGTTGTGCAGCTTTGAACAAGTTTTAGAAGCAGCAGAGGATGTGTTTCACATCCTGGTGTGACGGAAGGCCTAAAAACATCCTCATCTGCACGAAACACCAGCAACTTTGCATCGCTTATTGTTATAACATACCCATTTAAAAATATTAGAAGGTCACCTCTTCTGGCTTGGGTATAATTATCCAGGCTGTCAAGTGTAGAATGAGGAAGAGCACAATAGATCGAGAGGACACGTCCCCAGCTCCCTTTGAGGGTAATGAAAGCAGAGAGCACTCTGCATCTGGACTGCGGGTGAAAGATGTGTTTTGCTTGTTATTAATACTTTGGTAATTGCACACCCAAGGGAACAGTGGTTTAAATGATTGCAAAAGCTGTCATTGAGTGGCCTGGTTATTTAAAAACACTGGTTTGTTTCTGTGCCTCCTGCATAGATTGTTATGTATGAAAACATAGTTGTATTTCTGGTTTTTAACTCGTCCTAGTAAACAGTGTTTCTGCTTCCTCCTGCTGTATATGTGGGGCAATGGGACAAGGTGTAACAGGTAATATGCACTTCCAGAGAACAAATTAATTATTATGCTTTGTTATTTGTTTCATTTCATGAAACCTGTTGATAAAAAAAGAAAAAAAAAACCAAAACAAACAAAACCAACAGACCAAACCACCCTACCAACTAGAGGGCCATTTGTAACATCTTTGAAGTAATTCCATGTATGCATACCCATGGCCTGATTCTCTTGCTCAGCTATGTTTTTTTCCTATAATGGAGCTGTCTATCCCTACCATTTTTATTTGCAGTCACTAAACCTAGATTCTTTTTTATGCCATGACAATAACCCCACTAGTTTTACTGGGCTAATTTATGACTTAAATTGGTGCAAAAGAAGAATCTAACCTTTCTGTCCCTCAAGATTTCATTCACAGCAAAGGATGTCAGAAAGCAAACCAAATGACACACTCATCACCATGTGCTATGTTACCACAACAAAAGAAACCCACAAGCCTTGCAGCCACTTGGCAAAGCATATATGCATTCCCCCTTGTTATTGCCAGCCTAGAAATGATACGGTCTATTACTATATTCAGGGTAAATGTTTCATCAGATTACTGTTGCAACTGCTAAAAACATTCTTGAACAAATTTGTGATTAGCCATATGGTTTTATCCATATTGTCTCTGCCACAGGAGGATACTGTGATTGGCAAATTCAGATTTACATCACTGTTTTCCTCTGCAGGTTGACTACAAACCTGATGCTAATCAAATCCTGTGTAATACTGGCCAAGGGAATATGGCACGCTTTGTTTATAAGAATTTGGTTTGGGTATGATTTTTTAATTTATTTGCTGCAGTATACATGAACATAACACATTCGCTTTCTTGGGCTGCAGATAACTAAATCTGATCCTTTTTTATGATGAATATTCCCCCATCATGTCATCTCTGCCAGTAAGAGTTACCTCCTCAGAAGTCAAGTAACTCTGTATCCAAAGTCATGACCATCTTAACACTATGAATTCTACAGAAAAAAAATCTGGACACAGACTCTTAAAAGGAGTTCTATAATAAAGGTTAGACTTTTGATTCATTACTACCTTAATTCCAGAATTGTGGAGACTTGTTAAATCCAGACTTTTTCAGATTAAAAGGAACAACTCCCCAGCTGGTGTCCTTTGCCAACATCAGAAGTCAGTCTTCTATTCCAGTACTGGTTCTATATTACTTACAAAAATGGAATTCAATTACTTCTTTAGAAGATAAAGTTCTCTTAAATAGGAGTGGAAATATGCCTTGAAAACACTAGAGATTACTTTTTCTGCAACACACCTTACTGAAGTGTTTCTTTTCATTTTATGGAATATATAAACATTGAAATTCCCAAAACTGCATTATTTTAACCCTAGATCTAAGCACAGTGACTTTTTTTACATTAAAAATAGCTTGTAAATGCTTTATACTTACAAACTGCAAAGGCTTAAGAAGAGAAAGGGAGGTATAGTTGTTACAGAGCAAACAAGAACTGTGGATGATGTTGGTCCAATTCCTGCTCTGCTGTAAACACCTTATGTAACCATGAACAAGTCACCAAAGCCCAGATTCTCATGTGATGGGGAAATAGTAAATGACAATGATTTCATTCTGTTTTCTACCTGTAAAACACAGTGAGCAGCAGAGACACTGTGGGAGTGCGTACATAAAAGAGTGAAAGATACCTGAGTAGTGTTGTGATACGTGTGGACCCGATGAACTCCTAAAATGGATGGATGTACACCTAGTTTTCTCCACCAGTAAAGACACTTCCAACAGTAAAAATAGCTACAATAGGAAAGAAAATACAATTTCAAAGAAAAAGAGCTCTCATTTAAAGAAAAATCAATGGCCCTAATCAGAAAACAGAAATACACTCAGGGGGCTAGGAAATGCCATTCTGATAACAAAAACCAGTCACGGTGTACTTGGTATTTGAACTCTACATTGGAACATGCTTTTTAATTGTGACTATGAATGACAGTTGTGTACTTCTGTTGGGAAACATCTGTTACAGGCAATGATAAACGCGTGTCAGAACATGGATGCTCCTAAGCAGACAATGAAGCACATGCTTAGCTGTAGCAACAATAGCTTGTAGTTTCAGCAACGGTGTAGTCCAGATGAGGTATAACTTAAATCTTGCACTCTTTTACCTAAACAGTTTGTTGAACATGTTTGTCTGAGTTCTGCTAGAAATATACTGCTCTCATTCAAGTACATAGTGCTATTAACAGAGACTAGTAGCAATATTAATAAATACTACATTTGTGTTTATTTTTTACACAATGTAATAATCTGATTACATGAAATGCCATGTCACATATTATCCTAAAGGGAAACTGATTTAAAGACAAAACACTTCAGATTGAACAGCACTAAAGTATAATTGAATGCTACCTAAAACCATATCTTCTATTTCAAGTTACTTGTTTTTGTCAACATAAAAGGGAAAAAATACACCATGAAATTATTAGCAAAGCACGTTTTTTAGGTTCTAAATTAGAAAATTACAGCACCTCAATGTAATACTTTGGTTCTGGTGGAGTTTAAGAAATCAAGCACCAAGAGAATGCATTACCATGAATTATCAGTATCACAGCACATAGTTTAATACGAGGTTTTCTGGCAGGAGACAACTTTCATCATGATCTGCAGTCTTGAAACAGTCCATGAAAGTTACATGTCCTGCAGACATATGTGACTCATGCCATGCATCACCCTGTAAATACAGTATTTCATTTGCTCAGAAAGCTATATTACACTCAAATAAAACACAGAGGGTGTTGCCTTCTGTGTCAGCGACCAGCTGGAGTACACAGAGCTCAGCCTGGGGATGGATACTGCGAGCTGATGGGTCAGGATTAAAGGGAAGGCAGGGACCTGGGATGTTATAGTGGGGTCTGCTACAGGCCACCCGACCAGGAAGACTGAGCAGATGAGGCCCTTTACAGACAGATGGGAGCAGCATCACATTCACAATCCCTGGTCCTCATGGGGGGCTTCAACCACCCTGATGCGAGTTGGAGGGGCAACCCTGTAGCACATAAGCAATCCAGGAGGTTCCTGGAATGCGTTGATGGTAACTTCCTTCTCCAAGTGCTAGAGGAGCCACCGAGGAGAGGTGCCGTGCTGGACCTTGTTCTCACCAACAAGGAGGGGCTGGTGGGGAATGTGAAGCTTGGGAGCAGCCTGGGCTGCAGTGACCATGAAACGGTGGAGTTCAAGATCCTTAGGTAGTGAGGAGAACACACAGTGAGCTCACCATCCTGGGCTTCAGGAGTTCAGCTGGAGAAGAGAAGGCTCTGGGGAGACCTTAGAGCAGCCTCCAGGGGGCTACAGGAAAGATACACTCCTTTATCAGGGAGTACAGTGATAGGACAAGGGGTGATGGTTTTAAACTGAAAGACAGAAGACTTAGATTAGACATAAGTAAGAAATTCTTCCCTGTGAGGGGGGTGAGGCCCGGGCAGAGGTTGCCCAGAGCAGCTGTGGCTGCCCCCTCCCTGGCAGGGTTCAAGGCCAGGTTGGACGGGGCTTTGGGCAACCTGGGCTAGTGGAAGGTGTCCCTGCCCGTGGCAGGGGGTTGGGACTAGATGGTCTTTAAAGGTCCCTTCCAACCCAAACCATTCTATGATTCTTTGATTCTTGTTACCTTTGTCTCCTATTCCCTGCCCCATGAGTTGTACACATTAGCACTTATTACTGATAATTCTTGTTTTGGAATAGTTATGTACTGGTTCTACATATAATTATTTATAATGAAAGTTATTGCTATCTCTTATAAGAGATTATATATAGTTATTGATGAGATAATGTTCAGTCATTTTTTGTCATAAGATAAAGTTGTTCCTGAGGATATTGTCCCACACTCAGTAGAAGGTTGTCTCAGCCTGTGTAATGAGATAAATAGCATTTTATTCAGTTTCAGTCTTCAAATCTTTCTCTGGTACAAACATTCCATGCAGGTCCAGATGAATTTCTACATCTACTGTGGCTCGGCCCAATTCTTTGAATGTTTTAGCATCCAAGACAAGTAGGAAGGGTGCCTTTTTTGGATCAGATGTCACAATACAGGTTAGAACAACACCTGTGACATAAAACCGAAGAATTAGAAGCATACTAGCTACACCAAGCAGAAAAGATAAAACCGTCAGGAACCAATTCTTGCTTCCTAAGAATTTCAGGACACAAACTGAAAGTGCTTACTAGATCAAGACGTCTACTGAGAGTGCTAAAAACTAATGAATGCTTCACTTCTGTGCTTCTTTCTGGTCTGCCTGCAGTTCATTGGGAAGGAAAAAAGCAAATCAACACTGAACTGTGTGCCTGGCAGTTTGGGGGCTCGTCCTTTCAGCTGCCTTTGCAAGGAGTCACCCGAGAGCAGACCTGGATCAAGATTACAGGGATACTTGCAGTGCTGCTTCGTGTACTCATCTGTAACAACACTGACTTCCCACAGCTTCAGCCGCTCCAAACTATTGGTAAATGCAGCTTGAGCAGCTCTGTGGAAAGTCCTAAGCATTAGTTTTGTTGTTTATGGCTACCTTGGGACATTACATAAGCTGATTCTGATCTACCATTGCTTTGGATTTTTGTCTGCAGGAATAAAATGGCTGGTGCTAATTTTAATCTCACAGTGGAAGCATCAACCCAGCTTTCTTGACTAAGAACAATGAAACTTGTAAGATTTAATGCAAAAGTCATGTAACCCCAGCTTTCAGAATGTTGTCATTATTTTACCATCATCCTCTTCTCTTGCATCAGGGCTGGGAACGAAAATGGGCTCAGATGGCCAGCTGTGGTCCTCTCCCCAGTGGAGCATTTCCTTTGTCTGGGTGTTAAATTTTACAATCTGAATTGTTATGACCAGAAAAGAAAAATGTCAGTGACCCAGACAGTGGTTTATTCCAAAGGTACAACATGAACAGGCTGCTGACATGGAGGACTAATGCTAAGAGTTAAGGAGCAACAAGGCATGTGTCATCACAAGAAGGAAACACCTGGAAAATGTTAAACATTGGAGTCACATTTAGTGGCTGCATAATCACACAATGTTCTTTCAATTTCATGTCATTACATTACAGTTACACCTTTCATTTATGGGCTTTAAGTATTTTACAAATACTAACAGATCATGAAAGACCCTTCATTATAAATAATACACTCACTATACAGAGGAACATTTAAATGACTTGGGCCAAGTCACTGCGATTCTGTAGTAAAGAAGGAAACAGGATTTAAACCTTCTGTTTTCTAATCCTGTGAATTATTTTCCTTTTATTGTGACCTCAATATTTCTCAAGGCCTTCTATTGTTAAGTAGGGTATATATGCCAGAATAAAGGCTATTAATAGTGATGTGTAAAGATTAAACCAATAGGGCAAGAAATCCGCACAGATACTGATATTTACTGAAGGAACAGATTTTCATGTCCTTAATGGGTCAAATGCCTGACCAAACCAATTGCCAGTGGGGATGCAGGGCATTTTCAGTTCAATTCTATTAAGGACTTTTCTCTACCCATACAGATGCAGTTTTATTCTTTTTCCTTTTGACCTTTAGTCAAAGGATATGTTTACACAAAAATGAAACTTTAAAAATTACTGGAAGAAGAATTTATAAGAATTCTCCCTTGTAACCAAGATGACACCAATTTTGGTGACAGACTTTACCTAAGGTTTATACATGGTGAAAGAAGTCTTCTAACAGCATTTTTATTATATTTAAGTCAAGCAGGGATTATCTACACTGGAAATCACAAATTTGCAGATTTGTTTGAGCTACTGTCAGATGTGCTGCAATAAATTTTCTTGCATCATGCAGAAATCCAGCTATATTTTGTAATCAGTTGTGGTAATTACATACAAGAACCAACAGTGAACTCAATTTGCGCTGCCTTATAGCCACAGAACAAGAATTATAAAGAGTGAGTTTGTCTGTACAATACTCTTATCTTCACTATTAATACCTTTCATCTTGATCTATGTGTACTCTAGGCTGTCTCCTGAAAAGTTGGCATCATTTATACACAAATGAAACATTTGCTACCTCTAATACCAAACTAGCTAGCAAAACATAAAGCTTTCTGAAAAATTAGATACTGTTTAAATATTTTTAACTGATTAGATACTGTTGCAACAACTTATATTTTAGTTAGGTTTCCTAAAGGGAAAAAATATTACAGATATATGTCTGTCTAGTACTTCTTTTTCCTACTTAGTCTCTCCTTGGTAGCTCTTGGCATATTACAGAAGTTCAGCCCAATTTCATAGAAAAGTGAGGGTCTCAGTAACTATTGTGTTCAAGAGACTTTGTGGAAATACAAAAAGAAGCCTGAGTCTATTAATATTTATGAGGGAAAAAGTACAGCACACACTCACCCTTACAAGAATTCAGGCATTTTATGTTTCTTAGCATGTGAATGACCCACCAATGAGAAAAGTTTTGACAGAAACACATAACTATTGAATACTCAAAAATTCAATCTCAAGTCACACCTGTAAGAAAGCATTTGTTCTGCTGCCTAAGGAACTACATGTTTGTAACAGCTGAAGATAATGTCCCAGATTTTCAACTAGTAAAATGAAGACATACTGTTTCCATAGTTTGGCCTGGTGAGACTGTTTTAATCATACAAGTAAGCTACACATATGTCCAACTTTTCATCTCCTTTGCTTTCAAGTGCTGAAGTTTATGAACATACTACCCAACTATGAGTCGTTGCTCAGAAGCTTTAACTTGATGTTGAAAAAAAGTTAATTTTCTGGCCTCAGAACCGCACACTTCGAATTTGTACGTATGAATGGAGATTAGGCAATATTTGGGGCCAAATTAGTAAAGCATGGTCTACTTATAACTGCTTAAATATGATATGTGTTCTATAAATACAGTTCCTGACTTTGTAAACGTTAACTCTACCTTCATAGGAACTGGACTCCACTGGACTTCCGTTGCAAAGATGTACTTGTATTTTTTGCCATTATAGTCATAGTTGATGCGAGGCAGTTCTATCCCTGGATAAAATAAAGTTCAAGACTTAGGAACAAGTGAAGAAAAAGAACTCAAATGTACATTTACATATGCCAGCCTTCAGGAAGTTTTCACTGTGAAAAACCTTGACAGTATTTAAAACAGGTGTCACATAGATTTTGTGTGTCTGAATTTCTAAAGAGCTGAAGATGGATGTTAACACAACATAATTAAGCCAGGGTTGTTGTTAGTTCAAAAATGACAATTTTTCATTCATAGGATTTCATTATACTGGAACTTATGAGGATTCTTTTGGGTTTTTTTCTTTCTTCATAGATAGATGAGATGTGAACATCTGAGATATAATTGCAGGCTATCATTCTACAGAATTAGTTTTACTGTAGGTAAATATATACTCTTTACATATTCCTGTTATTATCCCCTAAAAGAAATTTAAAAATCTTCTTTAAAAGGCAATCTTTATAAAATACAGCAATAACTGAAGTTACTATTTATAACAGACCTATTTAACTAAAGTTACTCCTGTAGATTTGCAAGCCATATTAATATGCAAGATCAGACTTGGGATCTTATATTATTATAAAACTGATGTAACCACAGACATTTAAAGGATTTCACTCTTGATAAATATGTATCTGAGAGGTTCAGGGTCATATATTACGGGATAGACCCAGAGGGGGGTAGTAAAGATATTGTCAATATCTACACTTAACATATTAATTAAAAGTTTTGTTTCTCTTAGCTTTATAAAGATCTTACATATATGAACAGCTATTAGGTGTTATTAGAATGTACCTCTGTGTGTTAGAGAACATATTTGAGATTTGTAGAATGGATATGTCTCACCTTCACATAGTATTTCAGGTTGACAATAGATGCTGCCATCTTTCTCTTTTACAGCAGTTGCAGTGGATGGAAGTGTGACTAAATTAGAACCTACTTCAGCATCCTGAAAGAGACATATGCTTAAAAAGTAACATGTCTCTAAGAATATGCTTCTCATTTAGAGCTTTCATCAGGTTTGATAATAATACAGACAATTCTGGGATTAAACAAAGAATCAGCTTCAAGAAGTTCCTTCTCACGGCATTTATCTTGTAACCTTCTCTGATTCCGATTCTGACCTTTTCATCAGAAATCTTGTTATACACATAAGTTTTTAATATATCATAGAGTAAGAATTTTGAATAACACCGAGCTTTAGAAAAGTTTAGATAGACATGGCTATGTTCCAGAGACACAAATGGATTACATAGTTTGTGGATTTAATTAATGAAGATGGGTTTCAAGGAATTAGGTACCAAATTCCACTAAAAGTCACCAAGTTCAGGGGGGTTTTTGCACCTTCTATAAATCAAGTGCAAAAATAGGTGTAATGCACTCTTGTTTGTAACACACTACTGCTAAATTGTTAAGATTGCAGAGTAGTTTGGATAGCTAGTGTGATCCAATGCATCTTCATTGCTGCATAACTGTTTTTGAGGCATGACCAAAGCAGAAAGGTTCTAGGATGTAGAAAGAAAAAGTATTACCCATTCCAAATGTATCAGGCAGAAACTTGCCCAAGTTGCTGGGCAATATAAAACCTTCCCAAACAATGATGTAAAATGATGTTTTAAATTAAACTGAAAGATAAAATCTTTCATCTTCCTGGTAATTCTCACACTTAAATGAAATCTAATTTTAATAAAACCATTGCAACAGTTGGGAGTATGTGGTGTATTATATAGAGACTTCCAGTAAAGTGGAAGAAATAGATTGTGCAAAACCTCATGCATGCCCTTCCAGTCAACAACCAAGTTGATACATCTGCTCATATTTGATAGCATTTCACAAATAATCTCACTGGTAAGGAAATTACGTGTGCTCAATAGCCCTGTTCTCCCTAAAGAATGGTATCAGAACCTACATCCACGTAACTACGTCCAACTGCTCATTGCCATTTCTCACAGTACGTACACAAACCAAAACTCCTGCACACTGCGTGAATATGTTATTGTTAAAGAATCAGAAATTTGCACAAAAGGGCTGTCAACTAATAATTCACCCATTATTCGCACTGATGTATTTTAAATTACTGATCAAAGAACAGATTAAAAAGCCATTTTCTTTTTACCTTGTCATACTGCAGAGGAACAACAAACCGTTTGCAGATTGGTATGGAGGTAAGTTTGCTATTCTCTTCAAAGTTCTTATTCAGGTTTTTTAAATAGAACAGATCATATAAACTATTGTCTGTATAGGCAATAATATCAAAAATAATGTGGCCATCCTCTTCATAAGCATTTACATGGTGAAAAAACACCATAGCATCAGTATAAAACTTGGTGGATACTTCTTTTTTAGTCTTCTTGTCTACAAAGTGAAACCAAGTCTGAAAGATAGGAAACATTATTTAAAACTGTTGATGATCAGGAAACAGTTATTTAGGAAACTGTTTTCTAATGATAGCCGTCAACATTCTAATATGTTGTCCATTTCTACTGAAGCATATTAAAAATTCAGGTTTTGCTGCTAGGAGACAAGAGGTTCCAACCTAAATGCCAAAAAATGCAGGAGTAAAATGAATGTGGAAGTGCTTTAAACTCATTTTACTGTTGCAAATGATTATTCGGACTAGTCTGAGGATGGAAGTTTTCTGGTAAAACCTGGAAAATCCCCTGCTCTGCCTCAGTCCAGAGTCTCTGTGGTGCTTTGTGCTGGTGCCCTCTATCCCAGCATGCCCCACTTATTGATGGACAGAGCCTGTGGAAATAAGGTTCGCAGAAAACAGTTTTTTTCCTCAGTTGATGCAGTGAAAGCCTCTCCTTTTGTTGGCTGCAGACTTTTCTGGCTCTCCTGTCTGATGGGATGGATCTAGAGCAGATCTCATCCACAATATACAGTGTTTTGTCTAGACCAGGAGCAACTGTATGTATCCGGGATGCTAGTATGGTTCTGAATTTCTCTTCAAGCACAGAGTATTTCTAACACCACCAAACTATCCTCTTTCTCAAGCACTTCAGCATCAGATATTTACTGGTGAAATTTCTGGAGATGGGAGATACTATTAAAAAAAATACAACTTCTAAAAAAAATATGCAACATGGAAGTCAAGGGTTGAAGAAAGATGAGGGATTACTGAAATTAATGAACCAGATAAAAACAGACCAGCGTGGAAGAGGTCACTGGCCTGGCAAACTCCATTGTTCAGCATTAGGAACAATACCTTATCTTCCTTATGATAGGTGAGGCAGGAAGCCCAGTTCACACCTCGGATGTAAGCAGTTGCCATTTTGACAATATCCAGTTTGAATGGCTGCTCTACAAAGACAATGTAATTTTCTGTGATTCCAAAACTATGGTAGTAGCTTGGGTGGAGCAGAGAGCGAGAAGGGATGGAGCATACCACTTCCAGATGTTTAAGACAAGATTTCTTCTTTTCTTTTTCTGAACATACATGATAAAAAATAAAGTTATATTTATCATAAATTCCAATCCAATCTCATACTTGGATTTCTCCCATGTATGAAGTACATATCTTACCTGGCACAGAAGGCACAGAAGCAGGAATCTTAAATAGAACGTATTTTGTCTTCCCTTTATCAACTATTGAAGTGCCCATGTTGAGAATATTTCCAGCACTGTCATAGTGCGGGTGAGAGGTTGCCACATTTACAGCTACATATTTGCTGTAGTCAGCCTGGAAAATGATACAATATGAGATTTTAAAGATGTGTAAGGGAATTAAAACTGATCTCAGCTAACACCACAAATCCACCAGCTTTTTAGCAGTGGCAGCCTTTTATTGGTCCCCTGTTTTCAAAAGGCCTTGAAGTTTAAACAATTAAGCCAAATTATTTATGTAGGTACTCAAATGATTTCCTTATTCAAGGTTAAAACAAGTTACAGAATCTGAACCACATTCACCTCTCCCTTGCAGCCATGTAACATAGGAGGACTGGCTAAAGAAGTTACTCTGCAAATGCCCATTTCATACTGAAAGCAATTTATTTAATAGGGCTTATGAGTCCAGCAATCTTCTGGAGCAAAAAGATTTCTATTTGATTTAAAGTTTGGAAATTGTACTCAAACTATACTGCATACTAGAAAAGCCTCATTGTGTCTTTCAATATGTCAAGATTTCATTTTAATAATTAAGTACTATCTTGCATAAGGTACTTGTACTCATATAACTGATCAACTGAATTGTTAATTATATAAATTACTTGATAACTGCAGATGCATAATAATGGAAATGATCCAAAATCGTTATGGCATAAAGCATGATATATGGCATTCCTGCAACCTTTCTAGATGATGTACAAGTGAAATAGCTCAAAGCCCAGCTTTTCCCAAGCTATCTGGGATTTAATTTTGAGCTCATAAGTTCTTAAAAGATCTGTTATCTTCACTATTTCACTTTATCATGATGTCAAAAGTAAGGCAATAGTAGAAGAAAAGCATCTTTCCTGTTTTGTGTCCTGCATATTATACATTAAAGGATCTGTATGAGTCAGCCTGAAACTTTATTCATTAGCAAGATGAGGAACCAGAATGACAGACAGTTGTTTATACCTTCTCTAATGTCTCCAGAGTCTGTGGATTAATTTTCCTGATGAAGTTAGTCTCACTGGTAGCATAAAAATCATCCCCAGTTTTCATAATGTTGATCAGGCAGTTGTCTGTGAACTCAGGAATGGTGTGAGACAAATAGGAGAATGCCCTGCGCAGAGGGAGATTTCCTATCAGTTCACTAGAGCTGCAGCAGCTGCAGTGTTTTACCCCGTGCAAAGCAGGAGTGACCTGAGCAGTGCGGGCTGAGCAAGCAGCAGGGCCAGGGACCTGGGTCTGCCTCTCCCCTGCTTTGCTCTCTTCTGGCAGTTCCTACACCGCCCCCCTGGAAAGGGTGGAAAAGCAGAGGAGATGGACTTCTTCAACGCCCTTGGCCTGAGCAAGGGTTAAGGACACACAGAGTCTAGAATCCCATCTAGGTTGGAAAAGCCCTTGCAGCTCCTCCAGCCCAACCATGACCCTCACCCTGACCGTTCCCAACCCCACCAGATCCCTCAGCGCTGGCTCAGCCCGACTCTTCAACCTCCCCAGGGATCCCGGGGACTCCCCCCCTGCCCTGGGCAGCCCATTCCAACGCCCAACAGCCCCTTCTGCACAGAAATCCTTCCTCAGAGCCAGCCTGACCCTGCCCTGGGCAGCTTGAGGCCATTCCATCTTGTCCTATTGCTTATTACTTGGTTAATGAGACTCATCCCCATGCAACACATGCAACAGTTTTTGCATACACAAATGGGCATCCAGGTCCAGTCCTGCTGTCAGCTGTAAAATATACACTGGTTTATCAGCATGGGCTAATGACATGCTCTCCTGGGCATACCTTGGGAAAATCTGGCCTAACGCTTCCTACCTAAAAGCTGGTAGGTTTTTCAGCATATGCCTTCATAGAATAGACAGATTCATTTACTCCCTGATGGAATATTTTCGTTCCTGGTATTATTCCATATCACAATTATGATTTCAAAGAAGATCTAACTTCACATATGGGCTCGACAGTTTTCCTTATTAGTTTCGGATTTTATCATATTCACTTGAAGCCAAGACAAAGGTGCTTATATCCCTTTTGAACTTAAAATACCAGCGTTACCCTATTACTGCTGGAAGAGGGAAGGAAAGCATCTTATCTCAGGGTAACAACTGACAATTTATCAGCTAGTTTACAATAGCTATCTATGAATGTGCTTTTACCAAATAGCAAATTCAAGGTCATTAGGGGTAGTTCAGCCAGGAAGAAGAGATGGGTGAGCTACTTGCATTTGTTAGGGAATTTTAGAAGACAGGTGATAACATGATGGCTTACACCTTGCCTTTCATATACAGCCTATCATCCTTGCTAACAGTATGAAAGCAGCTATTGCAGTAATCCCAAATGGTTCAGATTTTGAATATAAAATGATCTCAGGCCTATGGGTGTAGTCCTTCAAAGCACTGCACCTGACTCAAGAAACAATTGGAAATTTTAATAACTTTTTTTTTTTTTTTGTAAAAATGGCCTTTAATCCAGAAGTTTTTCTGATTCTTTTTCAATCATTGATGCTTTTCTTCTTTTTGTGAAATAAACTTTGCATAAATACCTTCCCCATCTCTTAATCTTTTTCCTTTCTTGCTGCTTCTCCCCTTAGAGAGTATCATTTTTATAAAGTTCTGTGAAACACTTCAAAAAGAAAATATTTGTTTTTTCAAAATTACAACAAAACCTACTCATAATAGTGAATAAAGCTGCCACTATTGCTGATAAAATTAATTTTAAATATTTGCCTTAGAATAACCCACAGAGAGTACAGTGCTGGTCATATCTGTTGGCCTTTTCAATATTTAGCAATTGTAAATTTACAAAAGAAATTTTGTATTTGTAAATATGTGTCAAGGGTAAACAGAAAGACATCTGTGCTGTAGAGAAAAGTAGACAGAAGAATCTTGCTGGGAAAGGCATTGCTTACTTGGCAAATATGTTTTTGCATGGATCTGGATAAGCCATAGTTCCAAATTCAGACACCACGATTCTGTTTGCTTCTATATTGCAGTTGTATGCGTCGCTTCGGAGATACTTACTTCTGTAGTAAACTTCACCTGACAAAGGCCAAACAGGTTTCAATCACATTTCATACTGAGTTTTTGAGAAAATTAGTATAGGTAAGGTCAGAGAAAGAGTTTCTCAAGCAGATGTTCTCTAGGTAAGAAAAGTTTTCAATGGAACAACAATGCTCCCAAATCCCTGTTTTGGAACACTTTTTCAGCTCTCTAAGGAACCCAGGACTGTTCCTGTGGCTGTTACTAATCCTGAGATTAGTAACAACTTGTCCAGCTTCCTTGACACAGTTGGACAATACTAGGGGACTGGGGAATGGAGGGATTTGGATAAACTATTCCAGTAAGCCAAAACAATCTCTGCAAAAATTATTAACTGCACATCAGTGTGTAGGTGGTGATAAATCTCCTATATTGGCAAAATTTAGTTATGAGAGAATAACAAATTGCTTGAAGGAATCAATGCTTATCCTAAACAATTTAATGGACCCCTATACTTGAACTGAGTTTGGTTTGCTTTAGGTAAGTAAAATATACTGGCCATTTCTTCACAGGTTATTTTTTTAAGGACGTAGAGCTGGACAGGCAAGGACATCCTGCAGTTGCATTAAATGCCTCTAACCACAGAAACAGAAACTAAAAAGTAAACACTAGGAGTGGCAGATGACAGGAGTATAACCCAGTTCTTTTACAGATGCATACTTTTTGCAGCAAGAATTTAGGTGTAAAACAAAGTGCCTCACACTGTAAACAGCTGAATGGATAAAAAATACTTTAACTGAAAACAAAAAATTAAATTGATTTGGACAGAGGAGCTGCCTGTTTTCCCTCCATAAGGATGACAAGTAGGAGGACTGCTTGGAGGGGTGTCAAGTACTCCTAAGTTTGATATTTGAAGTGACACAGTGGCCCAGTTTCTGTTCTGACAGGTGTTAGAGCTACAACCACATCCCAAAAGGGGAATGCTAGTCTTCCCTGAAACTAGGTTGTTCATCCACAACAGAAAAACCTCTGGATATTACAGTATTTTTGGTTGATCCGGATCGAAACAATAGAGTTTTTCTTGCTGTGGGTGGAAGGCAAAGGCTGCCCTGCAGTGACCTGCTCAGAGCTGGTCGCAGGCTGTCCTGCAGTGCAGACAGTATTGAACTCTGGCACTCCAGAACAAAGGATGACACAATCTATCTCTGGTAACAGCCCTGCAGGGACACCCTTGCTGCTGCTGTGGAGAGCGAGGTGTGAGTGTGTGTTTGGAGAGACTTTCCCCAAAGCAGTTGTCACCTCACCACACATGCCACTCCGCAGACTGAAACCTGCAACACTCTTAACACGAATCAAACTCAAAACAGAATTGTTGATAGCAACACAAGGCACCAAGATTTGGGTTGTTGAGCTTTTTTAAATCTGATTTGCAACAGTTTACCATTTTTAAATGTAAAGCTGTGCAGCAGAGCCAAGCCATCAAACCAGTGGTTATACTTAGTGTCCCCTATTGTGTGCATCCCTGGGCCATTTCGGAGAAGTATCCCTTGCAACCAAGGGGGCAACTGACCTAGAAACAAAAAAGAGATTTCAGTATGCATTCATTTAGGTGAGGGGATTGTTACAGGACAATTTTCCTAAGGGCATAGGCTTCATATAGGCAGACAGACTATGGGTGCATCAAGATTTGTAATAGCATACAATATGTTGGAGTTTGGGTTAACTAAAATATGATCTACTCAAAAATGGGGCACTAGTACTATTTGCAGCAATATTGCTATATGAGATTACTATAAGAAGATGAGGTTGCTGGAAAGTAATTTGCTAAATATCGGGAAGTAAATAAAACTGGACATTTCTTTCCTGCACTCAAATCTTAAAGTGATAGATTTAAATGGTTGTAGTCATGCCAGGAAAAACTAGAGCTTATCAGAAATAAACATATTTTATAGGTCATATGACTTGCGTTGGCCTTCAGTACATCAATTTAAACTTGAGGCGAAATGAATTCCAGTAAAAATTTCATTAATTAAATTACACAGTACAATGTAGTGTCATTTGGGGAGTGCTTTTGTGACACTAGTCATAATGTTGATGTTTTGAACACAAATAAAAGGTAGGAATATTATATTGAAAATATGTAAGTACCACTGAGGTTTCAGTAAGAAATGTTCCTCACCAAATCCCTGCAAGAAATACATTACCTACCATTTGAGACACAGAATAACAACAATTAAAGAAAGTCATTAGGGTTAAAGAGGTGAACAAAAGCATATCAGATATTAAATTAAAAGCTTCACTTGCTTTTTTGTGCATATGCCTCCTGAGGGAACATTTAAGATCACATACTACTTTTCCACACAATTCCTGCACTGAACATTGTCTCTGCATAAAAAGCTATTCAGAACTTTTAATTCTCCTCATCGTTTAGTTTGTGACCCTACGTTGAATACGTTGACACACTTTCTTATTAATACTCCCTTTACAACAGATAGAAATGTCCTGTGGAAATACTCAATTTTGTCAAAGCTGATGCAGTTACAGGGAGGTAACAATTGTTTTGCTGTAAGACTTCTTGAGATTCTAAAGGGACTTTAGCCACTTTCTAAGATAATATTTCCTGAATTTTGACCTTTAGGTAAGGCAGACAAGGGCATCTGCCACTTCTTCAAAGAAATTACATTAAGGACATAAGGAAAAAACATCCAAATGCAAGGGAAGGATATGGAATGAATGCCGGCTTTATCTAAAATATATTTTCAGTCAGGCTTACCAGCTAATATTGTATGTCACAATACTCACACAACTTCACTAGGGTTACAGTTCTGGAATACATTGGAAGATAAAAAATTGTTGACACAATGGATGGACTGTCATTATTATTGTTATTATTATTTTTACTACATTCTATAAAAGCCTTGAAAACCAAAACTTACTTGCCTTTCTAACACAAGAAGTTCCAATGCAATAATTATAGTACTTTTTTGTCTAAGATGAAGAAGGTTTAACCTTTAATACAGATAATTGCACAAAACTTGAGTATCTAAAAATAGCTGGTGAGAAGACAGTGAGGAAATCATGTTAGCAAAGTAAAAGAATCCTTCAGAGAGAATAGGATTATGATCTTAAGAAAGTATATATTAAAAAATAGAACTGTAATTTTTGCTTGGCTGACTACTGAACATTAACACCTGAACAAGTTTAGTCTGCTTAGATGCCTAAAATACAAGGGTTTCTCTTCTTGCCACTTCCCTTTCTACAGTTTTCTGTTATCTGGCAACAGAAGATTGTAGGCTTTGCTATTTCTCCAATCCTACGGGCAACTGCAGGGTAGTGAGTGTAGTCTTCTGTGTCCCTGCCCTCCTACCAGTGCCATTTATGATTGTAAATCTGTGCCATGAGCATGGGCTGCAACCAGTCTTTTGCTAACACTGCGTTGGAGCTGACTGCAGGGGGCCTTGCTGCAACCAGCCCTTCTTTCCCTGCAGTGAAAATGTGGTACTTCTGCTGCAATGAGATCCTGTGGGATACTGATCCAGTAAAACTATCTTCTGCTTTGGGGCCCATCATTCAGGAAAAGCAGATATTTCTGCAATTCAGTGAACATCTTGCAGCTCCTAGGGCTAAAAATTTTGTTTAGACATTATTTCTCTATCTCAGAATAATGATGCTCAAAAAGTTCCAGGACAGGCCAAGGAAATAATTTCACTGGAACAGACAAATGGGAACAAAAGGGGGTCTTCTTTTTAAGGCACTATGGACTTGATGCAGTACTTCAGTGTAATTTCTGGAACAATTCCAGTATGAAAAGCATGGAGCAAAGGGTCATCTAGTGAGGTTTTCAGATGAAAATTCATCTTAGTGGGAATTAAGAATGTCTGTAAATCACACTGGGTACCAATCAGCATCCTAAAGAGCTTAATTAGCTTTTAAAATCTGGACCTTGTATATTTTTGTTTCAGAATTTTATCTGAAGCAGAAATAATTATACTTTTCTGTACCACATGAGGACACAAAAGTGACACAGTAAAATCTCCAAATATTTGGACGATTTTTAGCTATCATAACAATAGTCTCATACAATCACATGGCTGTACGGTGTTTAGGAGAGTGTGGGTTAAATTACAGCTGACATTAGAAGTGTGGGGTCATATTTACTGTGTGCATATTGAGTAACAAGGAGTCAAAATACTGGCAAAGCTCAGGGCTAGCAAAATATTTAAGAGGTCAAACTTCTCTTTAGTCTTCATAATTGGTAAACACTGAATCATCGACAATGAAGGAATTAATATTTTGTATACATAATTTTATTTACTGAAATATGCAGTCTTTGTTCAAATAAGGCATTCCATAATACAGATCAGGTATGATAAATGGTTTGTTTTCAAACAACTTCAAACGTTTCAATAATAAGTTTTTATCTTGAGGAAAAAAAAAAAAAAGGCATAAAACCACTGCAAATTGTAATAAAATACTTTGTCTGACTTGAAATAAAATATCTTCCATTTCCAAGCCACCAAACTGAAGAACAACAACCACAACAGAACCCTGCAAGTTTTAATTGTTGTCTTTTTAAGTGTTGTACTTGGGAAGTGACTTTAAAATTGGTATTAAATGCCAATTATTTCTTGGACTAAATATTACAAACAATGCAGCATGTGTTTACTAAGGAGGGGTCCTCTGCAACAAATCTCTCCTATAGCTGCAGCAAAAATCTGTTCTGTAAAGTAAAAAAAGACATAATAATAATAATAGATTGATGAAGTGTTCACCCCTAGAGAGCCACTTTAATATATCGCACTGAAGGATACTCTGCAGTTTTTACTGGATTAACTTCTGAACCCCCTTTTTAATGGTACATGGTGGCATCCATTCCTGCCGCTTTTCGACTTAGAAATACTAATGTTGGAGGGTCCCAGTTTTAGTGCCTCTCTCCAGGAGGCAAGGAATAGTGTGAGCAGCCAGAGGGAGGGTAGGGAAGGGTTACAGAGAGGAGAAACCGAAAGCCCGAGCAGAGCCGGGGGGGGG